TCCCTATACGAAATGTCACGACCCCGACCTATGTCCAAGCAAGTACGAGCAAACATGACATCTGAACAAGTAGCTGCAGAGGCATCTTTGCAAATGCGTTCATTGGTTTTCCTTTTCATTGCATTCGTCTCTCCTTTCGCCGGCCTCTTCCTAATCCGTCGAATCCTACAGTCAGTAGGGGCAGCAGACAACGGCCCATATATCACGTACTTTCATGGTGCCCTATTCGTCCTTTTTGGAGGTGTACGACCAATCAACCACCTGCTAGCCCTCTTGGCAGGTGGCACTCGGGAGCTGCAGGGCCGAGTTCATTATCCCCCTGTTGAAGATCCAGAAGAGGAAGAGCTAAAACTCAAGGTGGAACGAATGGAAATCATCGTCTCTATGCTTACAGAGAAGTTCAGAGAGATGGAGACGGCGAAAATCGAGGATGGCGTCAAAAAGCAGCATAACATGCTTGAAGTTCAAGATACCTTCGAGAAGACCGCAGCGCGCCTTGAAGATGGAGCTAGAAGGAGAGAGAAGAAATCCGAGATCGCGTTGGAGTCGATTGACCGACGTGTCGAAGGCCTTGAGAAGCAATACGAAGCTTTACTTTCTATAAGCGTGAGGGAAGCAGAGGCTAACAAACCACCCAACGGGACCCTACGTGCTTTGGTCGTTGCTCTGTTGGATTGGATTGATGCTTTTTGGAACTCATGGCGTCCCCGAAGCTCGCGATCTCGGAGGGCACCCGCTTTTGCGACAAACCCGAGATATGAGTCGCGAAGATATCCGGCAGGGGGAAACGGGGCAATTATAGGCGGCCGCGGACTAGCTCCTCTTCACCGAAGGGCTTATGACGGCTCTGGTCAGAATCTTGATACCGTTCTTGAGGAGGAAGGGCATGAATTTGAGTCGAAAGGCGATCTAGCCGTTCCTCGCGACGTGCCTGGCGTTGACTTGCCCCATTCCATCCCGGAATCCCTGGAAGTCAACAACGTTGATGACACCACAGTACTAGGAGGTCGTAACACATGGCGACGCAATAGAGTTCCAGGTGCGCTCGACAGTCAATCAGGGCTGAGTCCTACGTCCAGCGTGAATGGGAGCACGTCGCAATTTGCAAAGCTCCCGACAGATGGGAGCCAGAATACGAAAAGACGTCAAACGCAGCCGAAAGAAAAGGTCAACGGACAGGAGTCGTAGACCCTGAGAAACCTATTACCCGGCCAGTAGCCGGAGCAAAACCTTCTTGTACGTGTTGGAGCTTGGTTGGCAAGTGTTTGGTACCTTAATCGAGCCTGTGGTTCATGGTGGTCTCGGTCTCCCTGCAGCAGTCCCCCCTCATAC